TTTGGAACATTTTTTTTTTCAAAAAATATATTTTCTTCTTTAAAAAATAAGTAATTTTAGATTAAAAAAATAACTAAAAAATTTAAACCTCCCAATTATTATTTAAATCGGTTTTTTTTTTTCAATTGAGTATTAAATTAGTAATTATTTGTTTTTGAAATAAAGTTAGTAACTGGAATAAAAAGAATGATGACCTTAGTTTCATGAAAAATATTGGCTATACCAAACGGCGCCGTATCTTTAAACCTTCTCTAGACGACACCGTTTGTTCCGATGCAGTAGCTAAAGCCCTCGCCTCAATACTCAAAACCATAAACCCTCCTCCCGCTCTCGATCTGTACCAGAAAACCAGAGAGATGGGGAGGTCAAGAAGGAAATACAAGCAATCGAGACCGAAGGTGAAAGTAGGGCTCCCAAAGAAAAACCCTAACGTGTTCAAGCCGTCCTTCCATATACCGCCGAAGCTCCGATCTCTGGTGGAGGAGAAGCAATCTAAATGGGACGACAAAGCCAGCGTCATCAGCAATTACAAGTCGTTCGGCGTCGTTTCCAACCCTAATTTGCTCGGCGTCCGCTCTCGGACTTCCCACATCGTCGAGTGTGACACCCTCAACGTTCCCCCATCTCCGCCGTCACCGCCCCCGTCCGACGATCCCGCCGATCTCTCCGCTAAAGAGTTCGAGCCAATTGACTGCGGCAGCGATCTCGAGGAAGATGGTAACTCTTTCTTTCTCTCCATGTCGTTATTTTTGTTGTGAGTTGAATTTGCTACATGAGAATTTATCTGTAGAGAGTTTCCCTTTTATCCGTTATAACTTTTATGAATGTTAGGGTTAGAATATTGAACTGGATGCAAGGAAGACATGTGTTTGGTAGATTATAAGGTATGCTCGATAAGTACAAGGGGGTCACTCATGCTTTAGCAGATTGCAAATGGTTCAGACAAGAAGGAGGTTCTAGGGATCAAAGTTGGTTCCATGAATTGATTGAATTTTGAAAACCGTTCAGATTGGGATATGGTGATTTTGATAAGTCATAAGGGTTTGTTAACTGTTATCATTTGTAATACTTGTGGAATGAAGTCTTATCAAAATCTACTTTTTGAATCTTGGGATGTGGGCATGGAAATTGAAAATTCTGTTAATAATCTTGCCATAAACTGAAGATGTTTGTAGAAATCAGATTAGTTCTAGAGCATACTTCACACGACTTTACAATTGAAATATCGTCATTCTGTTTTGCCTTTGAATTATCCAGAACTTAAGACTTGTATAAGAGCTGGGTCAGACTTATTTTGTATAATGATTCGACAATTATGTATGTAGTATCACATTTCCATCAATAAATTTGAGTTGACTAAAAATTCATTGAGGGAGATTTTTATGAATTCATCAATAGAAATTTGATACTTTTTTGGTGTATGCTTAGTTTACAAGCTAATTTCTGAAAGCTGAACTGCTGTAGTTTGACATGTTAGCAAAACCGAAATAAAGATTGGAAGTTCTGAATCCATGTTATATTTAGTAGAGGATGATCAAAAGCGCATTATGTAGTCTGCTCATAACCATTGCCACGTGACCTAAGGCTCGATGGTAATTGGGTATAGTGTAGTTACATTAGTATTTGGGCAAGATAACATAGACATGCATAAAGAGAAGCCTGCCTGACAATAATGAATATCAGACCCATGGCGGGCTTTTCCTGCCAATTTTAGATTATTTTTTAAACATCTCTTTATACAAGTTATTTACCATTTTTATTTTTTCAATCGTCTATATCGATGAATCTACACATGGATGCTATATGCTGATTGTGACATAGTATGTTTTTCTCGGAAGTTACTTGGTACCCCAGTTATAAGTTGGCTTTCAAACGAATCATGATCAAACATTAGGTACTATCCGAACAAGTGCTTGACTAATTAAAGATCCCACTATCCGCTCGTTCTTTGTCCTCTACTTATTCTCCAATTAAGTGATGTTTCCTAGTGACTATTTTCTCCATCTTCAAAATCAAGGGCTCATCATTTCAGATATTAGATTTCAGGGGTAAACTACTCCTGTATATTTTTATGATAATTCTATGGGTTATGCATGCACTTTTATCTGGAAGCATGGACGTGTTCATCCTTGGACAAGGCAGAATAAAACTTCTGCTGTTGGACAAAGCTGAAACATGGACCCTTACATACTTAAAATTTGAACTCGAGTAATCTTTCCTTTTCTCGATTGCTTTTGACTAAATTCTGTCTTTGGCTATGTAGATTTAAAATCAGCCCTTGGGAAGAAGCGAAAAGATGGGAAGAGTGCACCTTTACAACCTTTGACTAGTATGCAGCGCATGCATGTCAGCCGACTGGTTGAGAAATATGGAGATGACTACCAGGTTGTTTATGAGTTATTAGGTTTTTGTAGTAAGATTTTGCTCTGACTGTCTTCCTCACTCACATCTGCTATGTTTGCAGGCTATGTTTATGGACCAAAAACTAAACAAAATGCAACATTCAATTGGGACGCTTGAGAAATTATGTAAGAGATATCATATGTATAAAAACAAAAGCCCTATGCTATTGGCCTAGTTGAGCTCGTGCGGCTGGAAGTTTTTGAGAAATTTGTAGAAGTATATGTTCTGATCGTTTTTCCCCTTTCAATTTATATTCTGGGAGTTATATGGAAAAAGAAAACAATTGACCCTGTAGTTTCTTGAGCTTATTTTTGTCTATTACTTAAATTTATATGTCCTTTCTCTTTCTCTCGAACCAATCAGGTTAGACTAGAACCGAACTTAAAAGAATTTACTGACTGCTATCACTTTGTTTCAGACTGGATCAAATTGAGATTTCTTGGTCTGGTCATGTCTCAAAGCTGACTGAATTGTACAAAATATTTTATCTTGAAAAAGCATATTCTATACCTAATATTTAAACATGTATACATTAAATACATGTATACCCATAATATGTAAATATACATATATATATATATTTTTTAAAATTTAGTTTAACTGCACCAGAATTGGATCACTCTCCTCCATTCTTAATGGGTCCTTCATTGATAATTTTGTTTGCAAGTACTTCCTGTGATGGTCAAAAGTCGAAACTTCTCAAACAAAGTCACAGCTTTTGAACTTGTCATTCCACCAACCTTCAAGTCAAATATCAGACCCTGCATCATCCTCCCTAATTTTCTTTTACTAATTCATAAGTGAAAGACAATAAGAGTACTTCATTTCAGTAAAGAAACAAAACCTTAAGAATTTCTTTTCCTTTAACCATTACATAGATCTAAAGGCCTAAAATACGACTGAAGAGTAACCTTAAAAATATACATTATAATCGAAAGTCCATCTGTGCCTTTCGAAATACACATAATGTATGGCAAATCGGGGCACAAGACAGTACTTGATTATTTTGAAAAAAAAAAAAAACAGAAACTTTCCATTTTTTCATGTGTAGACTGGAACTTTCAACAAAGAGGAAATTTACCCAAAAACTATCTACACACCCATAAATGACCGGCACTGTAACTCCCAGTGCTCCTTCGCCTGTCGAACCCTTTCTTCTCTTTCTGTCCGAAGCCGCTGTTTCCAGTAGCTGCGGCAGCTGTTCCAATATGTAGTTTATCAATATTAGAAACTTGCAATCTGAAAGATAAATTAAGAAAGATGAACATAATTGAAATTATTACCTTCGCTTCAATAAAATACTTAGCTCATCCAAGTGTACTGCTCCTTCATAAACTCCTGCCTGAAATCAAAGAATCGAAAATGAGTCAAGACCATTGAAAGGTATTAGAAAGACAAAGAAACCACCTAGCTTGGTAGAGGCAGTGAGTTACTTCCCCCTCTTAATATGAGGGAGTGGTTTCGGGTATTCTCTAAGGCTACGTTGCCCTACAAAAATGAGAAACGGAAAAAAACAAAAAGAAAAGAAGAATCTGTATAGGACTTAAATCAGACAGTAAGTGTAACCTATTCTACAAGACAGGGTAGAGGAGGAGGGGGGGGGAGCAGGGAGTGAATTCGCGTTGTTTGGCCCTTGTACATCAAAGCATTAGTAAAAGATCAACAAAGAAAGCAATTAGTTCTTGTAAAGATTATTAATGTTATCCAATTCATTTACATCTAGACAATTTTGGAGTATAATTTACATGAAAAATCGAAATAAAGAATTGAAAATTTCAAACATTAACCTACCTCACGACACAGAGGGCATTTTTCTTTAGGATCTGCAGATTTCAATCCATCAATAATTGTAACCGATGCTGCAGAGCAGGCACACATATAGCAGAATATGTGGCCACATGTAAGAGAAACCGGATCGAATACAGTATCCTGTAACCATCGAAAAAGCTCATAAATCAGCATGGTAACCCAAATTTGAAGTTTCCTCCATTGAAATTTCTAGTTTCTGACACTAATTTCAGTTTTAAGTACAAAAAGGATCACCATATATATCATACCAAACTCAATGAACACGAAATTTGTCACTCACCAAGCATATAGAACAAGTCAGATCGAAATCCAGCTTGACCGAATCGAAGAGCTCGTAAGAAAGTGATGGTTTCCCATCGTCGAAATTCAGGGAACACCCTTCAAACAAGGCAGGAGTGTTGCTTGATTTGGCCTCGGATTCCCTCAAATTGATGTGAAAAGCCATGAGCTCGCACAGCCATGGTGACTGGAGGATTTCAATGTGCATACTCTGGGCTTGAGACTTAAATGCCTGACCTTGCCTAGAGTAATGAATCTGTAAACTCAACACCAAAAATGATAAGAACCCAGTTCAAAATTCCATTAGGAATCATCAAAACTAAAATTTTTATGTGAATTTCCATGGTGAGTAAAGATCACCTTGTCATATTTCTTCAGGATTTTTCTAATTGCAGTGGCATTAATTAGGGCATAAGTGACCAGATCGTTGCCTTCTTGAATTAGGGCAACATGGCTCCTTTGGAGCTTGCCTCTAAACCAAATCAAGTACTTTTTAACACCAGAAGCCAGATGAAGGTCAAGCAATTTCTGAGCTCTCTGGTTAAAACAACCTACTACATCTGACATTTCCTTGAGAAGGGAAGGGAAGAAGGTTCCATCACAAACTGCAAATATTACTCAAAGAAATTTAGATTCAATGTATACACACACACACACACGCACACATATGAACATACGTGTGAAAATAAAACAGAACCCAGGTCTCAGATTTCTTCAAATTCCCCAACAATCACCAAAATGAATCCTTAAATCAGATATGAAAATCATCAGGAGGACGAAAGAAGACAGAACCAGAAAAGAAAATGAAATAATTAATCAAGAATCTGAGAGAAAATTTGAATTTGAAAAGGAAACAAGAAAAAATCCTGAACCTGGACAAGGTTGAGGGCAGGTATGATGAACATCAAGGTGTTTCTGAGATTGAAAATCTCTTCTACACTTCTTCAAAATCTTCTTAAGCTTCTTGAAACCAACCCCGGGTAATTTCTTCTCTTGGCCTTGCATGTACTCCTGGTATTTCTTGCAGAACTTCATTTTCTGATCACGAAAATCTCAACTCTCTCTGGTTCTCATAAACATATACACTTACCAACGTGTAATGTATGCGTGTGTGTGCGTATATATATTAAATGACTAAATCAGGTGAAAAAATGCGGCATTGGATTTCAAGTTTTTGTTTTATCTGACTCGTGAGAAGGATCCGCTTCTCTCATCTGGTTTGGATGTATTGAACGGTTATGCGGGAAGCGAGACGTTGACCGGACGAGCGAAAAAGTCAATTTTTCGCAAATCTCGCGATAACTTAAACGGTTCTCACCCACGCGCTTGTTACTTAATCTGCTCCATTCAAAATCGAGTAGAGTAATAATTACCTCATTTGGATACACGCACTTATAGAATATTTTTTAAAGGGTGATTTATATTTAATATTTATAATTCATTTAATAATTTAGTACTTTTAATTTGATATTTTTAGTTAATTTATATAATTTATTAATTTTTTTAAATTGAATTTATGGTGTTTTTAGAATGTGGGTCAAAATTAAACAATAAAATCCGATAAAAAACCACAAAAAATTAATAATTTTACATAATAAGTTGAATTTAAATTAATAAATACATTAAATAAATATAGAAATTCTTTTAAAAAATAAATAAAATAGCTCATTCAATGAACATGAGATAATTTTTATGAATGGTACAATTATAATAACGTTAATTTTAATTAAACATTTACTTAATATTTTGATTTTCATATTAAACTATACCAAATTATTATAAAAATAAAGGAATTGACATGATAATTTAAATAGGAAAGCATCCATGATGTATTTTATTTTCACATAATTATTGAGATATATTTTTATTTTTAGATAATAATTAACTCGAATATATATTATTTTACTACGTACACAACTATTATTATCATGATTATGTTAAAAATAAGAAAAATTATCACATTCATTGAATTTTATTTATTGCTTGTTTAAATAGTTAATATATGATTTGTTTTAAACCCAAATAGAGAAAAAAAAAAGGGCTTAATTTACAACCCATAAAATATAATGCATATAAATTGTATAAGAAGGTGGGTAGGTTTACATCATTGTTTGCTTAATTGAAATAAATAAATGTTATTATCATCACATGCGTATTGATGTAGACAAAGATTAGATTACAATTAACAAAGTCAATTGACAATTAATAGGGTTAAGTGGCAAGGAATATATATATATATATATATGTGTGTGTGTGTGTGTGTATCTTTATATGCACCTTCAATTATAATAATATCTTAAATATTAAATAATAAATTTAATTGATTATTATAAAAAAATTTAAATTGATAGTAAATAATATAATATATTATTTATATAGTAATAAGATAAATTTTTATATATGATTATATCTATGTTCAAACCAATGCAAAAAATTAAATAAAAATATCGGTAAAATTTATTATCTAAATTATTAAAAATTTATAATTTTCATTTAAATATAAATTTAAAAATATAATATATATATATATATATTTAATAAACAATAATCCAAACATACGAGATATTCCAAAAGCAAATCTAGCGATAAATATGGCGCCGCCTACTTATCCGACGTGGAAAATATCCATGCCACGTGTTTGGTCTTCGCGCGTTAAATACGGGATAGACACGAACAGAGATTTCCTGAGATTCTGTCGTTTAAGGAAGAAAAACGATGCCGTTTCTTTTATTAGTTGGCAGTTGCCTGTTGCCAGTTGGCATTTTTTTTATACAAAAAATCATCATCATAATTTGCCCATTAGCGTGCATATACAACCAATGGCAATGCGCACATTGGCCAACGGCTATAAATACACAAGGTGGTATATGATATACCGGATGATGTCATCCACCAATATTAAGCAAATTACTATATGTATATACATACACATGTACCATGTATCTATATATTATATGGGGGTTAAAGTAAGGATTAAGTTCGATGCTTCTTTCGGCGTATAAGTATAAATGGTCATGTCTAAAAGTCACTTTTCCTAGTCGGCTTAGCTATATACAAATAAGCTAAAAAGCCATTTGATGGTTTCACATTATTCTTCCCAACTTATAGCTTTTCCTATAAGCTAATTTTGACTTTTCCAATTTGGGCTTTTTTGGACTTACGGGTCATTTTTCAACCGGCCGGCCCATTATATAGCCCATTGGGCCTATACCCTAGTACAAATCATAAATCACGGTAAGGCTATTTTGGACATTTCGCAATCTTACTTAAAACTGTCATTTTACCACGTGTAAAGGTATCCAAAAGAACTCGCACGTGACGATAAACGTATGACGTCACGTCATTCGGCGGCCGATCAGCGGCGTGTCTTGTCTCTTTAGCCTTTCACCCGATAAAGCGCGCTGTCATGGAGTTTTCAAATCAGTCGCTGCAACTTGAAAAAACGGATCAGCATCTGCAGCAACTCCGACAATGGCGACTGTTGGGAAGGAAACGGTGATTGTCGGTGTGGACGAGAGTGAATCCAGCATGTACGCACTGGACTGGACGCTCCGGCACTTTTTTAGTCCTTTCGCCTCGAATCCTCCGTTCAATCTCGTCATCGTCTACGCCAAGCCACTCCCTTCCGCCACCGTCGGCCTCTCAGGTCCTGGTATTCCTCCGTTGGATTATTCTTACCTTTGTTTTACTCGACCATGGCGAACTCTTTCCTCAAAACGACGTCGTATGGTGCAGGGACCGCAGAGGTTTTGAGGATCATTGAAGAGGATTTGAGGAGGATGGCTGAGAGAGTCGTGGAAACGGCCAATCAAATTTGCAGGAATAAATTAGTAATGGCTAATTTTGTTCGTAAATAATTATTCATTTTTTAAATATAAAATATTTATTTTTATGTGTGTGTGTGTATATATATATATATATATATGTATATGTTGCATCTGTGCAGGTGACCGATGTAGTAATAGAGGTCGTACAAGGAGACGCAAGGCATGGTCTCACTGAAGCTGTAGAAAGACACCGTGCTTCTCTTCTCGTTGTTGGCAGCCATGGTTATGGAGCTATAAAGAGGTAAATATATACATATATACACGTTAATTAATAAATTTTTAAATTTATTGTAAAAATAAATTAACTAGAAATTATATGTAAAAAATATATATATTTAATTATAATAATTAATTTAATAATTTAACATAAAATAAAATAAAGGCAACTACTATAATGTTGCTGTGCAGGGCGCTGCTTGGAAGTGTGAGCGACTACTGTGCACATCACATTGGGTGCAGTGTGACAATTGTGAAAAAGCCGCATGCTTAAAAAAAGCTTATAAGCCCACAAAAAGCTAGTCACTTGTAATTACTGAATAAGCCCCCAAAAGGTGCTTTTAATTATATATGTTAATTAAGCCCGTTTTAAGCTTACTTAACAATTAATTAGAAAGGTTATTCTAATTAATTATATGTGTAAATAGTGGTTTTGTAATAATCTCTTCCAAGAAAGGTATATTCTGTAGCACGTGTTGGTTTGTAATCGTTGGAAGGAATAAAATAATTCCAGTGTTAAATTCTATAATTAATTAAAAATACTTAATTGTAATTATAATTTATATAAATGTATAAAAATTAAATATATTTTAATTAATTTTTGAGTTATTCTTAAGTTTAATTTATTTGAATTTTAAATTTCTAAATATTTTTGCTTTAAATAAATAAAGTAAAAATTTATATGAAGAAATTATAATATAAAAAGTGACGATTAAATAATTATGAGAAATTAAACCATAATTTATTTTTATTATATGAATATAAACCTGCATATAATATATAATAATAGAGAATTCTAGAAAATCCAGCCAAGCTTCCATTACCGCAAACCCGCAGTCATAATCCAATCATCTCGAATGATCCGATGGAATTGAAACGACGTCGTAAGAGGACTCTACGCAACCGGTAAGAGCATCAGCATCAGCATTTATTTTATTTTATTCTAAAAAGAAAAATTTTAATCGGACTTCGCGTCTCCTGATGGGAATAAATTGCGTGTCAAACTCGGAGCTCAGCTCGTCTCTGTCCTTCGGAATTTGCCAGAGAGAGTCAGAAAACAATAACACACTGCAACTTCAAGAGAGAGTTCCAATGGCGACGCAGGAGAAGCAGGTGATGATTGTGGCGATCGATGAAAGCGAACACAGCATGTACGCGCTGGAATGGACGCTGGATCACTTCTTCTCTCCTTTGGCTCCGAATCCTCTTTTCAAGCTCGTCATTGTTCACGCCAAACCCCTTGCTACCTCCGTTGTCGGTCTCGCGGGCCCCGGTACGACTCGCTACCTTCTTTTTCTCTCTCCTGATTTTGATTTTCTGTTTTCTTTTGGGGGGAAAAATTGAAATGGTTGACGGTTCCTTTTGTTTTGTTTTGATTTCTTCTGTTTTTTTTTTCAATTCTAATTACAGGAGCTGCCGATGTTTTTCCGTATGTGGATGCGGATTTGAAGATGATTGCCGCTAGAGTTGTTGAAAAGGCTAAAGAATTTTGCCAGACCAAATCGGTAATCCCTCTTCTATAGTGCTTGGCTATTTCTGAATTATAATTGATATCGTGCTTATTGTCTTCTTATTGTTAACTCTTTCATTAGCATCTCATTGGAGAAAGCTTAAATCTCCAATAGTCTTTATACTTTTGTCGTATTTCTAATTATCTGAAAACTCACAGCATAATTTCATATTTGAAGTATTTCCACTCCCACTATGGATTTTCCGAGCTTGATTTTAAATGTCCACATATTTAAACATAAAGAATTATATTTAAGTTTCTATATTCAGATTGAATAAGGTAAAAAAAAAAATGAAGGGAGAATCGAATCAAAAGGGTTAGCATATTTCAATTCCGAATGTAGAGGTAGGAATTCAAAAGTTTCCTCCAAGTTAAATGTATCTCTCACTATAAGTATGGGAATCATTATAGTCGGATGTCCCTTAAGGGACTGGGAATTATTATAGTAACTAAACAAAAGCAGAAAGTAATAATTGAATGGAATTGAATCAAAGTGAAGAAAAAATTCCCGAGAAGGTTAAAAAAAATCTAGTGAATATTTGAGAGGGTGGTACTGAGAAATTATCTTGCTCTTAATCAAGTTTGTTTCATTTTCCTCCTACACTAAGCCAAAGAAGAGTGAAAAGTGATCCATGGCTTTTCCGGAGGCACCACTGCAATAATTTATATGCCTGCGGCCTTGAGAACTTTGTGTATATCAATGTGTGTGGAATAGCTTAGCTTGGTTTCGGTTGACTAAGAACTAATTTCTTGCTTTTTCTTCAGGATTTTGTAATTTCAAACTACCTTCTTCATATTTTGGTTATTGACAAAATTTGATCTGGTTGTTCTGTTTCTGTGTAGGTGAGTGATGTGACAATTCAAGTGATTGAAGGTGATGCTAGAAATGTTCTCTGTGATGCTGTAGAAAAACACCATGCTTCAGTTCTTGTGGTGGGTAGCCATGGTTACGGAGCTATAAAAAGGTAACATCCTATCTAGGAATAGTAAAGTAGAGCTACAACAAGCTGTCATTCTCGGAAGAAAAAATTAGTAAATTGAGAATATTGTTCTAAATCTTAGTTCCCGATGTTAAGTCATGAGCGTTAGCTTTGAACCATTACATATTTTCTAAAAGTTGTAGTCTAACAGTCTCATCTTCTCCAAGAACAAGTAAGGTGGAGCTACAAAATGCTACCATTCTCATAAGAAAAGATTTAGTAAATTGAGAATTTTGTTCTATATCCGAGCTCGCAGGGTTACTCATGAGCATTAGCTTTGAACCATTACATGTATTAGTATTTAGAGATCATTAGTTTCAAAAAGTTATAATCTAACTGTCTAACGTTGGTGCTCTTAAACTATTTTTGTAAGTTTAATTTTACATCAACACTCTTTATAGCGCCTGTGACTGGAATTTGTTTTTAGGTAACCGTCCCATCAATATATACTCTTAAAATTATGAGTGGAAGTTCATATACACATGTGATTCAGTGACCCTTTTTCTTTCTTAATTGAATTTTACAAAATATTTAAAAATTCTAGAACTCACTTGAAAAATTTCAATATAATTCCTCACAGTAATTTAGATGAATTTTGATTGTTGTGGTGCAGGGCGGTTCTTGGTAGTGTGAGTGACTACTGTGCTCATCATGCACATTGCACTGTAATGATAGTGAAGAAGCCAAAGATTAAACATTAAACTAACCCACCTACACTGGGTTTTTACTTTACAGTCATTTCAGTAAAAACCAGTTTCTATGTAATAACCATGGCGGTGCTGCTGCCATATATTTGCAGTTCATAATTGCTGTTTAACTATTTGATTATACCTTGTTAGAGAAATAATTTAGTTATTATTTCATAATATTTTGTTATAGTAATAATTTATAGTTAAAGATGAGGATAAATAATTGCTAAGATAATAATAAAATATAGTTAATTAGTAATTATATTTTAAAGGAAAAAATATCGTACAAAATTATAGAAGAGTAATTTAGGTAGTAAAATATCATTTTCGTTGTAAAATCTTAATAAGAATATCAAGCAGTTACTTACATATTTTCTTTATTTTAGCATGTTGAAAATATATTTTTCATCATAATTATTAAAATCATATTGCTTAATATATCATTTTAGTGATCTACTAACTATTATAAAAAAAAAAACATAAGATAATAAAATTGAAAAATCAAAAGTTATATATTCATAAATTATTATTATTTATTTAAATTAAAATTTACGACTAAGTATATTTATTAATTGTATAGTAAAAAAGTTATATTAAATTATTCGATTCAATATTTTAATAAAATTATAGTAACAGCGGATGGAAATATAGTGAAATCTAAATAAAAAATAAATTTTAATTAAAGTTAAATAAACTTTTTTTTGCCCTCAAATTGATTAAAAATATTTGTCAAAATTCAAAATAAAAAACCGAGGTTGACCAAGACCCGGTCCAATAACCCGTTTCGGTCTCGTGAGTGAAGTCAGCAGTGAGCAGAAAGTCCGACTTCCCCTCAAAACACGCAAAATTGTCCAAAACGCTGCGTATCGAACTAATAGCCAAAATTTTAAATTTCCACAAATCATAATAAATTTACTAATTGACAGATTGCAGAGAGACGGTGCAAATTTTGCAATGCATGTAAGGTCTTAGCCCCACGTACTCTGTGGCTGACAGCTCGGAGAGGAAGCGGCAGAGAGCGAGATTTCCACGATATAACAATTTCTGCGACGCTCTTCTTTTTCTTTTGTCCATTTACTTTTTGGACTCAAGGAGAGGCACCGATTTTGACCATCGGGCTGCGATGGACGGTCGTGATGATGTGGCTGTCCAGTCTCCGTCTTCCGGCGTCTTGTGCTCAATTTGCATCGAGGTGGTCGCCGATGATGGGAGTAGATCCAGGGCTAAGTTACGGTGCGGCCACGAATTCCATCTTGGTCTGTTATTTTGCTTTGTGCTTGCAACTTTCTTCTCCTTTTTTTGCTTGTTAACATAGAGCGGTGATGTTGTTTTCGGTTTCTGGGGTTTTCTTTTCCTGAATGTTGATTCATGATTTTATGCTTTTTTTCTTTTGGTTGCATTTCATCATCGTTGGGCTTTTGTGTGTTGGCTTTTCCTTTTTCCCTGTTATTTCTTTGGAATTACGTGATAATTATTGCAGTATATGCCTATAATTTTTTTCCTCATGGAAAAGGGATTTATGGATTCCAATACTTCAAGCTTGAGTTTTTGTTGGCTAAAATTGGAGTTTGCTTTTCAAGCTAGAAACGAGCATGATTAACGAAAGAAAAAGAAAAAGAATTTTGATGATATTTTAAGGTAGAATTCTGTGGAAGCAAATTCCAAGGAAATTTTCTTCACAGGAAGGGAAAAAACGTATGATTCTGTGGCAGAAGATATCTATCCCCCTCTAGACGGCCAAGTATAATTGATTATTGATTTTGTGGTGTTGTCTGATCAACATATTATGCCCGGTTTAATTGAATTCCTGTGCTATGTTGGTTCTTTAAATTAGCATTTTGAACTGAACATAGGTTACTGTGTGTTGAAAGAAAAATCTATGGTGGAGGCTGGCATAATCCAACTTATTTTCAGTGATCCAGAAGTTAAATACTGATATAGTGATGCGTGTATGGGAAGAACATTGTTATAATGCCTATGGAAAAGAGTTGTATCTGTACCAGAGATAAGGCTGGAGAGGAAAGGTTGAAAGGTGGTCTGCGTTTTGGGTTGTTAGTGGTAAGAAATTCTATATTGAAATTAGTCGCCAATTGGAGTTATGTTTTTGTCTATTTGGAGTTTACATGGGAATGATGTATGTGAGGGAGACATGCACATTGTGGAGAGCGAGAAGTGATCAAAACATTAGGACATCACATTATTCATAAAAAAAGATTCATGCAGCAGAACTGAGTAAATTGATCACATCGTATCATGTGAGGGCACAAGCATATGCTGATTTCTGGACTCTTATCTGGACTTCATCACTGTTGGTGATGTTCATTCTCCTTTGAATTCCTTCTCCACTATGTTTCTTTTTATGTCATCCTTTGACACTATACAACTGGATGTACTAATTGACCTCTTTTATCTGACTTGTAGACACATACCATTATTATTATTTTTTTCGATTATGCATTTTTTATATAGACTGTATGCTGTCACTGTCATACAGATTGCATAGGATCAGCATTTAACATGAAGGGAGCTATGCAATGCCCTAATTGTCGGAAGATTGAGAATGGTCAATGGTTGCACGCAAATGATCATTCAGTTCCTGAGAACAGTTCTGTGGAGGAAATAATTGGGAATTTTGGAAATCAAATTGATCCTGACATGGTAAGATACAACTAGTCATATATCATTTGTCTTCCCTAACTTATGGTTCTAACTGAAAGTACAGAGAATTCAGCCAAAGCATAAGGGGCAGCTAAAATTCACAAGACAGTGAATTCCAAGAATAGAAATGTCTTATTTTTTTTCCGTAAGATTCAAGTCAAGAGTCATGACTCTTTGAATTGTATCTTCTTCATGTATAAGCCCTTAATTATATGCTATAAAAATCACTTAAAAATTTAAGATGTTTGTAAAATGATAATTGTTTTGCACTGGGAGCTCTTAAGCATCTTTAGTTTCTGTGTCTAAAACGATGAGTTGCATATATCTTTCTGAAGATATTAATTGGATGAGCATCTCTTGTTACTTAATTTTAGTAAGCACTCTTATGAGTGGCAGCTTCTCACCCAAATCCAGGTTCAAGCTGAGTCTGGTATTGTAGTGTGATAGAAATGTTAGTATTTTTATTTGAATGGGGAGACCAACTGATAACTTATGAAGTACTGTTTTGTAGAATGCCTTTAGTTTGTTTTCACTTACTAGTTAAAGGCAATTGCTTACATTTGGACCACTTTTGGACACTAAGGTACATGAACTTATAAATCATCATCAGGAGATCAATCATAAAATTAACATTTTTTCCTTTCAAAAGAGTTAATAAATTGCCATTTGATCTGTTGCATAGTCTTTTAATTTTTTGTTTCTGTTTTTATTTTTAAGTTTTTACGGCAGGAAGTCAATGTTGTGTTGCAAGACCTCCTTGAAAGTGATAAATCTTTCTATGACTGGATTATCTTATCATCTCTCTTTTTTCCCTGCAGCCTTTTAACGGTCATTGGTGCCCATTTGGAATCACAGGATTTGGTTCACCTTTTCAGTAAGCAAGATCTGCTTTATCTGGTTTTGCTTGTATCTAGACTTTTACAGTTTTCCTGATTGAGCTGCAAATACCATTCATGTCTTCTGTCTAGAGTTAGCCTGCTTCTCATTGAATTTGAAAATTAGGGCACTATGTGGTATCATAACCTCCTAATTTGCATGAATCTGAGATAATATTCTTACTTAATCCTTTTAACTTATTTCGGTAGTATTATTGGTCATTCTTCATTTCAATGGAAAAAACATGGATTTATTATATTCAGTCAACATAAATAATAATAAAATATTTTGAACGTAGTGGAGCCGATTTTAGGATGGTTTTGTGAGGAAATTGTGGTGATTTATTCACAAGACTTGGTGCATATGTATAGTGATTAGTCGTACTTGTATAATTGCAACTTAAAATATTACTACAAACTGATTGAAAATGAATCCAGAAGTAGAGATTGAAACAGATTTGAAAACAGAGCAGAGGACGCCAGCTGCTGGACTGTCTTTCCCAGTGCTTTGGCTTGAGTCCCAGTGGCTGAAAATGTCGCTACAGGTGCAGAGTTCTCTAGAACTCTGTTTTTTTGGCTGGTCTTATCTGGACTTTGTGTTCATCTTAATAGTTGATGTATGTTGAGATGTAAATACGTCTTTGTTTTAACTGGAAATTATATTCAAACGAATGTGGAAATAGCTGCCACTGCCATTTTTCCACATCGTTTCTTCCATTGCCATCAATTCTACTACCATCTCATGTGCATGCCATGACTTGAAATTACTTTGTATTTTACGTTTTCCTTCATGGGGATAGTTCGCTTTTTTTTGGGAGGAGAGATTCATAGCTATACAGCTCGATTTTTTTTCAATCTTGTTGTTGTTTAGTAGGACTATGGAAACTAGGAAGTTGGTCTTCAATTTTGAAGGATCATCGTCCGTCCCATTCGCAGAAAAAAATTGCATCATTCTATTCTTGAAGACATCACTAATGTCTGTCTCTGACTTGTTAATACTTTCTGTACATTTCAGGGGGTTGGAATTTCCATCAAACACTTGTACGTCTTATTTTATAGCACTTTTTCACGCCTAAATTTTTTTGCTTGGATCTTATTAACCACATGAGGCATGAACAAACTTTCTTTTCCTGTTAGATCATGATCATGGAGACCGTGCTGCTGGGTCATCTGTGCCTCCCTTACATGCCGGGTATGCTGGACTAATTCCTCCTGCAATCTCAAGATCTACTAGTGGCATTAATGAATCCTACTTCAATCATCACTGGAGCTGCCCATTCAGACACAACGAGATGTTTGATCACCATGCTTTTCCTACCAATATGCAAAATCACGGTTGGGGGCATCAATCCTCTCCTCTCTGCCTAACTGATAGCATATCACAGTGCCAGTCCAGCTCCTCTTCCCCTTGCGAGTGCATATTCTCATGGAGAACATATCTACAACTTCTGGTAAAGCTTTAGTGCTACATGGTACTAACATGGAGTGTGCTTCAGTGAACTGGGTTACTGCATGTTTACATGGTTTTCTCTTTTATTTTCAACTACGTTCATATATTTCTCTAATTTCTTTTTCTTTTTTAAAAATACTGTAGATGATTACCTGTGCATATCTGGTTTTTCATTGTTACAAGGAGTAGGAGGAAAAAGAACAAGGTGTTATGTTCATATAATGCACAGTATTGTAGTTCTGTAACTCTTTTAACGTCTGTGTATAATCTTCATAGGTCTGACCCCAGAGTAAGCATTCCTGTGACTAGGCAAGGAGGCTTGCCTACAACAGAGCCTGCAATAGAGCCAACACCAATAGAAGCCGAAGAGAATGGTGACTTCTGCGTCTTTCATCATCCTTGTGCATCAGCTTCATCAAGTGAAAATGTGCGTGAGGTAGGACGTGACCTTTATTTCGATATATGGTCAAGAGAGTGAGTATCTGCAAAATTGCCACCTACTTCTAATTGGAAGAAGAGATTCAGTGTCTGTAAACAGCTTTTGAAGTAGGTGGTTGTTGGAACCTCCAAATAAATCTTAAAAAATCTTACTAGTTTAAAAAAACTATTTAAGGGGTTTAGCTTAGGGTGGTTTCTCTCTGTTCAAAACTTCAGAGCATAAAAATTTTACTTACCTCTTCGCTTTAGAACGAAGTATGTGTAAACTAAATGGTTTATTAGTTGTTGGAACAGCTTGTAGATTGCATCTAAATTTAGGACTAGAGGTCCGGTAGTCCTTACCATGTATTCCAACAGGTAAGAATTTTCTTTCTTCGAAGTATAACAATTTACCTTACCTTCGCTTTTTTTTTTTTTTCAGAAAAAATGAAAGTCAGGGTGCAGTAAAACAAGGTGTAGACATGAATTTCGAGTTAATATTTCGAACTGGGTTGAGACTAATAGAATTTTTAAATGAAATTAACTTGGTATGATGCGAACTTATTTTAACAGAAATTGAGTGAATGTTTAGAAGGTGTTTCACTAGTTTATTATCTATTTTCAAGAACGTTAGGTGTTAACTCAGACATAAAAACGGAGAATATTTCTATCGGCTGTGATGCAGGCTCGTAATCAAAAGTTCGGAGTTAAGAACTTGAGTTCGAGCGATATCCTCTGTCCCTGCCTGTCCTATCTCAAAAAATGGGAGGAAGAAGATGAGTATATATTATGCATTCGTGTAACAAAACAAATAATTAAATAAAACATCAAAAACTTATAACACAAAAGGATGTTTGTAATAACAACTATCAACCGATTAAAAATTATTAAGTAAATACATTTGCTTATGATCCAGAAGAAGAGGAAAATGTTTATTTTGGGAAAGAAGCGATTATCACCATGAAAATGTGGGTGGTACATCATTGGAAAGATGGATTTTTGCATCCGCAGTAACAATTCTTCCCTTGAGCAAATTAGAATACCAGTATGCAGAGAGTTTAGGGATTCTCTTCAAATCCGGATCGTTGAAATCTACGTAGAACAGACCATAATTTAATTCATAACCGCTCAATAATTCATAAAGATCTAGGAAAGACCATACAAAATACCCTCTGGTGTTTGATCCATTCCTGTATTAATCAATTTCAATTGAAAAAAAAAAAGGATAGCACACAACAATTAGATAACATTAGTAGAGGCATAAATTATAAATTATAAATTATCAGAGCTAAATGTATTAAATTCTAACTAATAGAGAAAGCACACATACATACCTCATTGCATCTAGCACTGTCCCAATATATGAATGCAAATACTTAACCCTCGCTGTATCTTGTAAAGATGAATTATGCGGCATCATCTGACCTGCCGAAATTACCAGTCCAAGTTGAGCAGACAATAAGATTGAAGAATAATTGATAAGAAAATATTTTAGCCAAGAAACAAAAGAACAATGCAATCTCTGGTTTGGTTCAATTCCACCTTACTCCTTTTACCGAATTACTAAACTAATCTTGATATATGTATATATATTTCTTTACAAATGTAAATTCATAAGTGTCTTTATGTTTGAAATAATTCCACTCCCGCCTAGAATTTTTTTAAGTAGATTTCTAATTTTGCTCCCGTGTTTGAATCACTTCCATCTCTAGCTTGAAATGTTCGGAGATAGAATTCTGTTCTTACCAGGATGTGTTACGGATGTATAAACTTTTTTGAAAAAAAAAAAGTACGTCATTAAATACAAACACCAATGAAATACTACCATGCATAAAAAAATTATATATATCAATCCATATGTCAACGAAATCCTCAAAATCCTCCAAACAATATAGAGGATGACCAATAACTAAAAAAGCCAGGGTCTGGACCCAACTAGTTCTGACCCTATCTATTTCGTCCAACGTGATATGGATATATAAACAAGAATATTGTCATCTGTTTTAACATATGAAGGATATGCTAATAAATAAACAAGAGTATGATGGGAATCGGACGAGGATTAACAAAATGAAGTCTTGGAGGAATAGCAATTAGATTCATCCGAATCCAAGACAAGACTGGAGATGGTTCAAGCAAGAAAATCATGAGCACTTTTTGCATGATCTAAGTGCATATATAAACATATACATATACACATATATATAGGGAGAGAAAGAGATACCATTTTCAACAATGAAAATAGTGGGGTTGCCGTAAACTAGCTTAAAATACAAAAGAACAGCTTGAAGGCCTAGCGGGAAGATAGGATACTGAAAAAGAAAGCAGAATGCAATAAGGTGAACTCGATGAAGAAAACAGTATGATGATACTTAAATATTTACTTCCTCACCTCATTCGCTGAAGAATTGTTAATATCTGCCATAATAAGAGTAGATTAATTAGCCAGATAATTGCATATTTTCAAATATATACTCTATGTATAAACATTCAACACAAGAGAAGCAGCAATTATGTTGTCCACTTGCCATAGTCAAGAAACATAACTACATACCTATCAGAATGGCACCCATATCTTGATAGAAATCTCTTTGTTTCAGTTGTAGACTGTCAGAATCATCTTGGATATTCATTGAAGTGTAATGTATCAGTCCTAGGAAGTCGAAGGAACCCTTAACCTGTTCGGATTCAGTACTTGAGAAAACTGGCATTCTAGATCCAACATTTTTCTTCATTATCTCTGGATAATCACCAAACACCAGTGGATGTGCAATCCTGAAGCAAATGCCAGCGTAAATTGATCCTTAATTTCCAATCTTACAATAAGCATGCTAGAAAATAAATTTCCAGCATAATCTATGATTTGCAGAAAAACGAGTAAATGTGAAGAAATGACTTTATATATCAAATTTAACTTAAATTATTAGTAAAATGACACAACAAATATATAAGTTATCGACCAAGCTATAAGACAGAGTAGAGCCTAGCTTTGATACATGTTAGACTACACATAAAACCAAATAAAATGTTCCAACAAACGTATATATATTTTCTGCTTATCGGTAGCATTCCTTAATAATATAGGCATGTATATACACAGATGAATAGTACTGAGCCATAGAGAATGCTCACTTACCAACCAACAAAAAAGTCAATAGCTCGCTGAGTTGCAATTGCATCCTCTTTCGAGTTGGTTAGAGGAAAAAACCCATATGTAAATATGCTAATGCCTATGGATCCATGTTGCTTGGCCTGCATCAAATGTTTGTAACTCCCAAGATTCAGAGAAATCTTGATAGCTATCTCCTTAAGCATGTATAGCTCTTCAATTATGAAAAAATTAAGATAGTGAGGCAGGTTTAACATTTCAATTCATTAGAGCACAGTTCTTAAAGTTGTTTATAAACAGAAAATAAACAAACTAAAAAATTTTCTAGATTACTTTCATCCTCAAATCTTTTAGTTTTTCCTTTTCTCTCCTCCTAAACAAATCCTAATAAACAATATGGAAAAAGAAGTGCCTCATAATGTGGGAATGGTTTTGACGCAAAAACCTTGTACTTTTTCTCATACAGCCTTGCAGCTGAAGCATGTGCTAACAACATATTATGAACTGCAATGTATGGCTCAGTCGATGATGAGTTTCCATGAGAGCAGTTGGTTCCAAAGTGAGGCGAGCAATGCCCGGGTGGACACACTCCTTCTTCATAACTTTCAATAGCAAATGCATTGGGCTCGTTCAGAGTAATCCAATATGAAACCCTGTCCCCAAATTCTCTGAAGCAACATCGGCATAAGCTGTGAAGTCCTTCCTGCATTTGCATACATCCAGTTCATTTCGCTTCTGTTACCTTTTACTCAGCAAAGCATACCATTTACAGAAGAGATTAGGTTGATAGAAGATTAGTGATAATCATACACTATGGTTCTGTTAAGCCATCCTCCAAACTCGTCTTCAAGAACCTGTGGAAGGTCATAGTGTTGCAATGTAACATGGGGTTGAATTCCTGCTTGGGAAGCCAAATCTTAATCACTGGAGAATCAATGTCACACAGAACATATTTAATATAGAAAGTTGTCGTGCTTTCCAATGACAAAATAAAGCAAGTAAATAGTGTCGAAAAGAAATCAATACAGAGACTTTACGTCATACATCACCGTGAAAATTTGAGATTATACATTGTGTTGTCTCACACTCAAAACTAAAGTTCAAGACAAATTATAACATGACTTTTACCGTGAGCAATCAGCTCATTGATAAGGTTGTTGTAGTACTGCAGACCCTTGGGATTAACAGATCCTTTTCCATCTGAAAAAATAATAAGGACATTAAGAAAGAGCACACAGTTTCCTTGGTCCCTCCTCCCCCCAACATATGCTGTTAATTTGAATCATAATTTGTAAAACTATACCCGGTATAAGCCTTGACCACGAGATGGAAAATCTATATGCATCTAACCCTACGCCTACCATTAGTCGCACATCTTCCTGCAAAAGTTTATAAATGCGAAATCAGAGACGGTGTAACTCCCACAAGATATAAATCTGGATGACTTGTTGAAAGCAATCACTGATTAGTGGACATTGTGCAGACTCTGTATTTGTGATATTCATCACAGGCTACATCTCCAGTTCCTCCATGCCCGTGTCCTGAAATTTCGAGTTCACGAAGACTGCTCAATGAAATGTCACAATAAACAAGTAAACATATTTTATAGACATTTTGGAAACAAATTTAAATGGATACATAATACTATATACTGAAGAATGTTGTCTGAAATTATCACACGAACAAGAAAAAAAGGCGGAGAAACATAAGAGGTTTGCATTGGAAAGGGTCAACAATGAGCAGAGAAAGGGAAGATATACGAGTAAATTGGAAACTGACCAGTGTGAGCAAAGGTATCCCAAATGCTTGGAGTCCTGCCATCTTCACTTGCTGCACCTTCTACCTTCAATACATTCCTCAATAAATAATGAAATTGTATTCTTTTTGCACAAATATATATTTATATATACATGTACACAGTTTTGGGTCAAAATCCAATAATCATATAGTTTTAGGTTAAAATGTAATATGGCATTAGATTAATTACTTTACATACAATACAACTGGCAATAAAAGGAGAGGACCCTTCGGCTCTTGATCAAATATTTGGTGTGTATATAAGTGAGAAAAAATGCTCTGTTTGGAAAGGCAAAAGAACAAATAAGGAAACAAAGAAGACAATCTACTACTTGACTGGGTAAGTAGAACTAGAATTTAAGTGTGGAATAGTGTACATGATGGAAAAAGTGTAATAGAGGAAAGATATATGTAGAAGTACGGGAAGCTTTGCAATTTTGAATTTTTTTTTTTATCAATAATGACATTGCTTTTATGCACAAATACATATACATGTATATGGTTTTGGCTTAAAATCCACCCATCACATATTTTTAGGTTAAAATTTAATATGATATATTCTCTTATTTCCCTGTGTGTCTAGACTAATGAAGCCAATGATTATCTAGTTTCTCTGTCTCTATAAGGGCATGAACTCGAGTTGATCTGTGCATTCCATATATTCTCTCTAGGAATTTTGTTATTATCAGGTGCATTTGCAGTCTAATTAGTGAAATGTATAAATTTCTACTAAAATTTTGTGTAGATGTCCACACACACACACACACAGACTTATTCTCTTTTCAGGACAATGAGACGGTTTTATTCCAAAGAGTAATCACTTTAAGATAGCCTATTTAACAATCTCAAACTTCCTTTCTAGATCATAGAGTTATCCTAAACATCACAGAATTACAATAACAGTAAGCAAGAAATATAGTAATAAGAACGCACAATCAATAACAAAAATAGCGTAAGAACTTTTAAAATAAAATAAAAAAATCCGAAAATAGAGCGGGAGAACACACACACTCGTACATATTTTTAGCAAAAATTCGGTACAAAATAGAGTCGTATGTATGTGTATAAGCTAACCTGATAAGCAGAAGTGGCGGAACCAAAAATGAAGCCAGGAGGAAAATCAGTTCTGCTAAAAGCACCGGCGCCGAACACCGTCTCTCCCAAATTTAGCAGAGTGGCCAGCAAGAAAAGGAGGCTCGACATACTGCTGTTTATTTTGCTAGACTGGCAGTTGAATGTTGCAGAGAAAGTAAAATGGAGAAGATGAGATGGAAGTCCATGGCGTATTCAACAACTCTCTCTCTCTCTCTCTCTCTCTCTCTCTCTCTCTCTCTCTCTCTCTTTCTCATATTTAATATGATTTAAAATATTTATTAAATTTAAATCATATTTTTTTATTTTTTATTTCTATATAAATTTATTGTATAACAACTATGGTTGCATGTCATATAATTTTGATCAATTAATACATCTCCATTTATTTATTATTTTGATGTACTTATAATAATTATATACAAATATATACATGTAATATTAAATTAATTATTTCATTTTATGATATATATTAATAGTTTTACTTAATAATATAATTTAATACGATAAAATAATATCTAATTTTATATATATCAGGATTAATACTAATAGTTATATATATGTACGTCTCAAAACATTTTGACGTTTCATATGTTAGTCATTGTGCATCACTATAAAATATACAAAATATTTATTCTCCATTAAAGTAATTTTTTGAAGTAGAAATTAATATATTTTAATAATTATGTAATATATATATATTAAAAAAATAAGTTAGATATTATTTAAAAATATTCAAAATTATTTTTATTTAAGAGCATAATGATTTTTATTGCGATCATAATTCATATTTTTCTTCCGATAATTTCCCATTTGTCGTGTAATTGAACTGTTGAGTTTGTCTCGGTGGTTTATATGATTTTTTTTGTTTAAGAAAAATTATTTTTAATATTAAAAGAATCAATAAAAATTTATTATGGTATATATTAAAAATAATAATAGAGTAATATATTAATTGATGTTATAACCGATAAAAGGTAATTAGTTTAAAATACATTTTAATAATCATTCATTATGTAAATAATCATTATTTCTATTCATTTTTATGAAAGTGTGAATTCATGCAAAACGGTTAATTTTATATATTTTTATTAAAAATTTATTATAATATTAATTTTTTTAAAAAAAATAAAAATATAAAATTATATTGAAGTAAAGGTGTCAAAAGAACATCGTCCGTTTATAAAAAATTTATAAATTGATTAAACAATTAACTATAGAGCCGAAATCATCAGAACATTCGATGTTATGCCTTAAAATAGTGGATCCGAATATTGATTATAAAGTTATTAATGTGTGAGTGTCACTTAATTATTTCACTATATAAGTTTCTACTAAAATAGAAATTCTTAACTTTTAAAAGCTCTTAACAACTTTATAAACTTATTCTTTTAACCAAAATTTGAGCTGCCTCTTTAAGCCAAACTCTTAAAGAAATAATGCATACCTTACAACAAATTTCAACACAAAAGATTATTTGGAACTTTAAATTTCCAGATAAGCCTAAGCCAAACACTCTCTAAAGAAGCACATTAGATCTTGCAACACTCTCAAAAAAAAAAAAGATTATCAGAATCTTTATAAGATTATCAGTCTCTGAAGAAGCATGTTTATAAATCTTGCAACACTCCCCAAACAGATTATGTGAATCGTAAACGCAAACATGAAACTTCTGTGTAGAAATTGAATATTTCTGAGTGATAACCATAGTCTAATAGCTTTTTCATGTTTGTGGAGATTAAAAATTCGAGTACCATCTACAGCACAGTGCGTTTAAAAGTATTACGTGTTAACAGAAGGAAAAAGATAACACCGGCTAGGGATGTGGGTGGGAAGGAGATGTATCCATCAAAATAATTAAACAGGTAGTGACTATCAGAAAATTTTCATCCAAAATTTGGAAGCTCTTATGTTCATCAAGTGCAACAATGTATGAAGTTTCTAAAAGTCTAGAAACATAGAGCAAGAAGTACTTGGTCCGCTAACAATATTTGAAGAACTGAGATTATACTACAACAAGCTAGTTGAACTCAATGGAATAACATGTTACGGCGATAAGTTATGCTTGAATGCAAAAATTTTACAAGCATTCTTGATGCTAAGTTTAGATCTTCAAGCAGAGTGTTTGTTGTGGAAAAGTTTACCTCTTATCTCTGGCCAAAGATTAATGAAAATTACACTGTTGCAAAAGTGGGTGAGAATAATCAACATACTTCTCCCACAGAGGTTTGTACTTTTCTATACCAATCTTCAACCATGGCTTCGAGTTCCCATTGAAGTGAAGCACTGCCCCTTTCTCTATCAGCTGAAGATCAACATTTGTATAGCCCAAACCCAAGACATGCCACACCTGTTCTAATGGTTCTGTTAGACCATAGAACGTCAACAGTCCAGGTGGTAGAGTCCCAAGTTTCCAGAGTGTATGATCAACATTCCTTTCTTGCCAGTAGTGATATATGCCAGTCACATTCCTCTTCCTCCATTCAACCAAATCAAAAACATTCATCCCAAATGCCCAGCCACATGCATCAGGGTCAAAGTGCGTTCTTATGAGAGGGTGGGAGTAATTCAAGTATTTGTGGTATCTGTGAAATGTCTCCATGCATGTCTCAACAGCTCCATTAACATTTCCATTCAAATCAATCGTAAAGAGAGCAGATAGATCCTTTTGAACCACCACATCATCATCAAGAAATACAACCTTCTTCAATGCAGGGAAAACTTCAGGAATATAAAACCTCAGATGATTAAGCATTGAGAGATACTTAGGATTCCGGAACTTGATTGGAGTCCGCCCATCATCACTATTTCCAGAGAAGTAGTAGCTCTGAGTTTCAGAATCCTGGAGCTGCTTAAGAACTGGAACATATGAAGCATTCAGCCATTTGAAGTCTTCAAACTTCTGAACCTCAACAGTCACTCCTCGGAAGCTGTTTACAGCAAACCAGGCCTTCATTGCAGCATAGTTTATTTCATCAGTTACAAGATGAAAAACAACCTTCTCTGGATCTTTGGAATTTAAAGCGGTTGAATTAACCACAACTGAAGTTGCAAGTATGTTATCAGAAAATACACAAAAATGGTAGAGGCTGTTATCCTCAAGTTTTGATTCTATTTGACCTCTTTCATTTACTTTTCTTTGGAAACTTAGACTTCCAAACCATTCAGTTGTTAACCGAACTCCAAGACAGTACAGACTTTTTGGAACTTCTTCCGCAGCAATTTGTCCATACTTTGAACTTTTCTCACTCACAGAACTCATCTGTTCTTCAAGTGTTTGTATTTTGGCTTTGAGTCTCATAATCATGGTGGCACTGTCATAATGGAATTGCTGGGCTTGGTAAAGCAAAAGTGCCATATCACGAATTGCAGTCTCTGATTCTATCACTGTTAAAGGAGCACGTCTTGTTGCAGCACTTGAAAGAAGGACTTGAGAGTTGCGGATCTGCGCACTTAGCTCCCAAGCAAATTGAAGATTGTTGCTTTCTTTTGCAATCACAACAAAAGCCTTTGCAAGAGCAATTTGGTCACTAATTTGCCGAGTGACTGAATTAGGGCTCAACATTTCATCAGTGATGTTTAGTCCTTCCATAACTCTGTCATGCCGGTAAGATCTCTAGACAACAGAAATGCAAATCAACTACAGTTAAGTCTCCAATGAGGTGATTGACAAATTTACTTAGGTAATTATTGACAAGACTAATGTTATCTATTACTAGGTAACAGAATTTGATTTGTCATTCATTCTCATTCAGCATATAAGATTTAACAACTCCCAATTTTACAAAATGTTGAACCCATGTCTAACTTAATAGAGCCATTTCCAAATGTCTTATAACATTTAAGACACATTGTTGCCTAGATTTATGAAAACTAACAGAAGGATCATGTGCAACCCAGAAAGTGATGTTCTTAACGACGTTTATAAACCATTACTTGTACAGGTTGAGGGAACTCTCAAAAGCCCCTGCCTACCCAGATGCAAAAAGAATGATTTAATTTAACATGAGAACACAAATAGTTACTTCACGAACAAAAGGCAGCCTCAATAAAATGAATCTAGATATGCGACTTCAACATTTTTCCTCACAGTAGCAGATCACAGCAGCAAAATATTCAGCTGATTGCAACAAACAAAAGAATGTTCAACATAGTTCCAGACATTTGTCTCACACGAAAGCCACTTCCCATGAGATCCCTAGAATAATTGATTGAGGAATTGAAAACTGAAAGACACGTTTCCAAATTTACACAACCTAAAGGAAGCCATCTACTTGCATCATACGAGAAAGTAAATCCATACCTAGACGAAGATAAATTGCATGCCAAATTAAGAAGTACATAATGAACATCCTGTTATTACAAATCCAATATTTGAAAGAAAAAGAAATTAAGAAATTGACGATACAATAATATCATGCTCAAATTAGTATAATATATAATATCCGATAGCTAATTTTTTCAAAAAATGGTCCTTAATATTAAAATAAAAACTATTTTCTCTCCTACTTACACTTACTCAGCATCCAAACCAAGTCAAAGATCTGCATTGAAAGATAGAAGCAGTATAGAAAGCAGGAGAAATCATTTACCTTGGCCATAGCAGGTCTGGATTCAATTTGACCTTCTTTACTCAAAATCACTATGAAGACCAAAACCGCAATCCCACACAGTGTCCACCACACCGCACTGGAAATTCTCCTCCTCACCGGCCTCCGAAAATCCATCCCTCTCCTCCCCATTTTCTATTGCTTCGCAGAACAACAAACGCAAACAAAGTTTCCAAGAAAATCCTGACATGTAAGAATCAGTTAGCTGGTGCAATGATTTTAGGTGATACACACGAGGGAAATAGATCAGAGCAAGGGATCCAGGCAGAAATTAAAGTTATGGATATTCAATGTTATGGAGATTCGAGAACTGGTTTTGAAGAGTTATAGTTGACTTATTAAGCTGTGAAGAAAATAAAATAATTCGAATTTTTAACAGCGACCACTGCATTTGAAGAACAGACGAATAGTCACTTCCACTAATATAGCTTAAAAATCAAATCCAACACCATAAACAGCATCAGAAACACCGAGCTACAATTTAAATTTCTATACATAAGCAGTAAATCTGAACTCCATTAAACAAAAAACTGCTCATGAATTCGCCTCTTCAAAATCTATTTCTATAACAAAATTGAGAACAGAAAAGCACAATCAATGATTTCCCCCGCTCGAGATGAAGAATAGCAACGAAATATTGACCGAAAGCAAAGGTGAGCATGCGCGGGGGGTGGACGAAGAAGAAAACCGAATTCAAGAGAAATCGGAAAAATGAGTTAAAAAAAGGGGCAAATACAGCCAGAGAAAAGTGTACCGGACGGATGGCAGCGCGACTAGACTTCACAGGTCCCTCGACGACGTGGAAGATGCAATCCTGTCATCCACCAACCGGAGACAGATATGCCTTTCAGGCGTGGGAGCCGGTGTAGATAACACTGTGTGTAAATGGGGTCGTGTTGCTCCGTGTGAGCCTCGTTTTTGGTCTGTGAACTGTAATTTCTCTTATACGTACACATACGTACATATAAATATGTGTATGAATTTTATAATTTCTCGATGCTGTGCATTTTTGGTATTTTATACTCCATACATGAGATACCTAGTTTTGTAGTCTAATAAGAAGATCCCTACCCTGCGTTTAATTCCCTTTTCTGGTACTTTCTCAGGAACCAAACAGAGAGAACTTTTAACATTTATCTAATTCTCAATATCTTCTTAGGTTTATTTTACGTAGTCCGATGATTGTATAATATTTTGGAAGGTTGAGACACTACTTATCATACAAAGTATTTACTTCATTTTGCTTATGTTCATATCCCTACCAAAATAATTTATTCTTCGCGAACGAAAAGATAAACAAAAAATAAAAACTCACTATCCCGATAGAGAAAAAGTTCACTAATAAATCGAGAAATAACTATTTCGATAAATTTACTATGAATTAATAGTAAATTAAATATTTTACGGAAAAAAATTAAATATTTATAGTTCAAATACATTAATTTTAAGTTATTAATTACTTAAAATTTTAATATATACCCATGTTAACATGGTAATTTGTTGATTAAATTTGCAAAACGTTACATACACTTATTATATTTAGGTGACATAGTATAGAATATTTGATTATCATGGTTTAATTACTACTAATCAATGTTTATTATTAACAATTGTTTTAAGTCCACAATATTGGTATTTTCATTGTCTAATAAATATGAATAAAATTTGAAAACATTTTTCTCATTATTCTTCAAAAATTTATTTTTCTTAAATATTAAATATTTTTTTAATAATTATTTATATTAAATATTTAATAAAAATATTTTAAGTAAATAATTATTTTAATAATACTTTTAAAATTTTAATTTGTTATGGTCGTTTTGTTAGTTAAATTATTTTAATTATTAATAATATTATTGTTATTATAATTTATGTTTTATAATTTTATTGTATATTTTTCGAGAAGGGCGTAGAAGGCGAAGGAATTCCCGAATTTGGATTTTCTTTATACCCGACGTACAACAAATCTTCCTTCCGGAAACGTTTCGACGAATTTTCGTTTTCTTGGCGGAAAAGAATCAATCGGGAGTAGAATAGAGATCGGTCGTCGGTAGAGATGGCGCTGAATCCTCAATTGTTCCCAAATGGATTGCCGGTTCCTTTCGTGAACGAGATGTTTGTCCTCATCAGAGACGGTGTCGAGTTTGAAATCGATAAGATCCCAGGGTTTGTTAGCTTTTCGTTCTTCTTCTTCCTCACGTTGTTTTTTCTTGCTGCCTGGTGCTTGGCTTATCGGCTACTTGATTGTGATGGATGTTTTTCTGTTTCTTTTTAGTTAGATTCTCTCAATTTGCTCATTCTCTCTGTTAATTATACGGGTGCTTGTTACTAAGGTTCGCATAATTTGGCACAATCTGGAGTTTCCTTTGATTTAGACGGTGTTGTCACGAGAGCTTCTTTGCTATTTATTATTTGCTAGTCGTTGAGGTCCTTAGTTGATTGGAATCGAGGTATCTATGGTGACAGGGGTAAGAATTTTGGGGTTTCATATCTGGTTTCATGGAAAAATGACTGGCAGAAATTGATTGGGTCAAGATTTGGGATTCTATAGGGATGAGGGGCTCTGTAGAAGTAAATTGTTGAGGGCACGAGAATCAATGGAACAGAATTTTGGGGCTGAGATTCTTAATAAATTTGTCAAAATAACGAGATTATTTATTTGACATGGAGCTTCTGCATTCTTGAATTGTTAACTATGAAAACTGATTAGATTGTGACCAATGGCTTAGGCATGTTATTTTATGTCACAAGACATAATTGACTGTGTTTTAGGTCTGCAAATTGTCTGCTATACTCTATTATTCTGGGAGCCCTTACATTTATATTTACAGCTCGAGTAGGAATTAGAATGCTATCTCAAGAAATCTCAGGGAATTCAAGTTAGAGTTAAAAGGGCTTCAAACGTGTAAAGTCTGATATTGTTTTCTTTGTGAAAGATATGCTACAATGGGGATGGGGTTTTATCCACTTCCCGATGGTATTATTTGAACAAGTTCTAATTCAAGAAGATTATTCCCCGCATTTATGTTCGGTGGAAGGTAGAATCCGTTGGGTATTTTTATTTATAAGTTGTTGGAGATTAGACATCAGCAATAACTAGGAACTGTTTTTAAAACTTAAAGTGCAGCCTGAATTATTTTCTATCTATAATTTGCAACTTTAGCGTCAACTATCCAAGTGATGATATGAATCTGAGGTGCTTTTACTTTTCTTTTCTTTTGCATGATTTATAGTTAATTTAACTCTTGAATTCTATTTTCAGATCTCACGGTAAATTTAAGGGGACAATCTATTTATCTAACGTACGCATGGTCTTTGTT